GCAAAAGTCAATGTTGCTTTCAAGAAAGGTTTTTGTTTCTGTATGCTATTTCCTCCAAGTTTGGATGTGACCTACTGTACATGTAGATCAAAATATCAAGTGGTACTCAAGAAGACAAAACTTGGTCACCTGAATCCATCGCTCCAAGGTTCTTCTCTTCATTTCAGTAATGAATAAAACATTACCCATAATTCAGTGGAATAAAGATCCTTTGTGATGCCCCTCATCATGTGACCTGGAGCTTTGTATTCAAGAGAAGGTTGAGGTCTGGTTAAGAACTAAAGAAGATGAAGAATAATTTCTCTGCCTTTTTTGTTTTTTTTGTATGTGTCGGTTGGGAAGAACATAACACATGTAGAAATGTCTCTCAACAAGGATTACTCTTCAAATGCCCTCATATTAAAAATATGTTGAGAATTACCAAGTGCAAAGTGTGTACCAAAGATTAATGTGTGGTCCCATATACACATTTCTGTGTGCAGTGCTTGTGATTTTCAGCAAGATCAAGTCATTTTCTCTTCATTTTGATAATTCTGAAACCTCCAATAAGCAGGAATTCTTAGGAACTTCATAATCAACCTTTCCCAATTGCTTTCAAACAGATTCTCTGACAATGTAATCGCATTATGACCCATACTCAATTTTACCTTTAAAGACGACAGGAAGTGAAAAGTATTGTTTGTTATTCGGCTGCTTCAAGAAAAATGCAGCAATTTGCCAAATTAGAGGTCTTCTTTCATTCCTACAGGCAGAAATTAAAATTTCATGAGTCCACTAATGGAAAGTAAAGATGGATGCTGTACATGTAGTTTAGAGAATCATTTTTTATTGACTGTTTAGAGAAATGTGGGCAACGTGATGAATGAAGATGATATACAAGCACACTTACTGTAGTGAACATGGAATGAAGACAGGAACAAAGTAGAGCAATAATTGAAGAAAGCATGACTTTAAGTCATTTATTTGTACATGTACATTACCTGTTTATACATGTACATATATTTGAAGAAGAAAAACAATGAAATTACTATAAAGATCAAGTCTGTAGCCCCTAATTGTAACAAATGCTGGCAGTAAAGAACAGAACATTTGGCAAGAAGAAATGATTGTTGCAGAAGACAAACTTATTATTGAAAATCGAGGCCTTTTAGCATAAATTTGGCAAATGAACAACTTAATGTACACATTGGATCTTAAAGCCCACATGCATCTATGATGACCACCCCTTTCATGAATATATTGTACATCGTAAGAGATCTTTGAGGACAATGGATTAATGTTTCTCTATTAATTATTAGAGTTTACAATTATTCATTCAAAGTTGCAAGCACTGTTTACGTCTTCTAAAGCAGAGTAAGAAATATGAATAAGTTGACAAATTACTGTCAAGTGTAGTTGGAGGCAGGCAGATGGTTTGAAATTGTACATGTTAATTTAACAAAGAACCATGCTACACCTGTATGTACATCTGTCATACAGTGTACTGGGCAGTAGGATATGTCTGTATTGATGGATTGGGATACTTGCATACATGATACTTGTGGCCAAGGGCGAAGGCATCTGTCTGCATAATTGGCCACTGGACAAGATCAATGTTGGAATATATTAACTTTGACCAAATGATACCATGTTCAAGTTGACCTGCGGCATGACAAGGGGCCCTGGTTAAAGTCGTCCTTTATCCTTTTTTGAGTGAAGGCTTGTTCAGATATATGGCACGGTAAACTGCTGAGAAAAAGGTGCCACCTCGTTTAAAAAAAAAAAGAATGTGTAAATGAATGGCAACTGTACGAATTCACTGAGCTCGATAATAGACGATACAGAAGTGTGATGCGAGAACGTTGCTCTTTTGCCGCATGTCTGAACAAGGCCTAAGATTCACATTTAGATTATATTCAATATGGTAAACACTGCTACTTAGCCTAAAAAAAACAAGTACATGTGGGCTCACACATGCACAGAGAGGCCTACAAATGTACAGTATCAAGCCTCCACAATAAAAAGGGTCCTAGAGAAACTACTGTATAGTGTATACCCTTGAAATTCAGGAAGACTGCCTCCTATCAATAATTCTTCATTTGTTTAAAAACTTTGAAAGAAATCAAGAATAACTTTCTCTGATTCAAAAAAAGGAATTTTTATGTTACTGGACGCAAAGACGGCAAAGTCTATTCCTCCATCTATTTCTAAGAAATGTAATAATTTGATAATTCTCAATACAGAACAAAGGGCGAACCCTGCATGCACTAGAGGTTCTTCATACAGTTTATATGTAGGAAGAAACTAAGACAATGAATGCTAATTCTTGACTGAACTGGTGCAACGATTGTAGATATCTTACAGTGAATTAGGCTAAACTGTAATACTGTAGGCCTACATGTTGGACATGTAAGCTGTAAAAGTGTATGTGCTTTGCATATTTTTTGTAAATAGTGATGGCCTACACTGTACATGAATCTGCACATGCGGTAGGATTGCAAGCATGTTGCATAAGCCTTCAATTTGGACACACTATTTGCATTGCAAGATCCCATGCGTTTGATTAGACGAATCAGTGTCTGAAGGTCACACACTGCACTTAGTAAGAAGATATTGAAACAGAACATTGATCTGGTTCAGGAAAACACCCAATGTGTGACATACGGTTATGAGTCACAGTCCTGCTATTGCATTGTTTGTTATTGTACAGGGCTTTCAATAGGTCTGTTTTCATCAGCTCGAGATATTTCCCGATATTTCTGATGTGGGAAAGGATCTTGAAGTTACAAATCACGTCTTCATCAACTCGAGACTTCATCAACACGAGACTTGACCTCGAAACTTGAAATTCGAGCTCAAGAAATTAGTTCGCGATATTTATCGTGCAAGTCTTCGGGCTGGTGAGGACGCACCAGACAAATAGCGGGACATTTGGCAAACTAGCCCAAGATATCTTGGAATGATTGTCCCGACCAAATATCCCGCTAAATGCAACTTTGGGCTGATGAAAACGCAAATTAACTGGATAATTTGTGATCGGGATAGTTCAAATAGCGGGATATTTGGCAATCTGGAGCTGATGAGGACTGACCTTATGTGTCACTGAAGAATGCTGGGCACACACTATCAAGGCCAAACATGGAAGGGTCTCTCCAGGCATGGTTCCAAGATAAACTGGGCCCCCATATCAAACACAAAGCTTAGCTAGTAGGGGCAGTTACACTGTCATCCAAACACGCCAAAAAATGCCAAACCGGAGCCTGGCCGCGATGTTACCAAGGGCAACTACGCTTTACCGGCAGACATGCCAAGCCCCAAACATTCCAAAACGAAGTGTGATCTTTTGGCGTGTTTTGGCGTGTTTGGCAAGTATAACCGCTCGCAGTTGTAACATCGCGATGTTAGGCACGTGACTTCCGGCACTTCCGGATTGTTACCCGCGCTCTTTTAAACCACGTTCTTCCCGTGTGATATTTATAGCATTTCCATCGTCGCGCGTGTTATCCGTTCATTCAGCTCCGTTTGTTCCAATTCCGTTAACTCATCCTTTATTCAATCTTCGTTATTCCCGTCTGGCCATATCTGTCTAGTAGTAGTATTTGAGTGTTTTGTTAGATTAATTAATATGGAAGTGAACAATTCCCATTGGACTGATGATGAGATGAAGTTCTTGATTTCGATGTGGAGGCAGGGAGAGCTCCTCCACCAGACTTCCAAGCGTCCCTGCAAACGTGGGGAAAAGGGCTTCAGAGAAATGAGTGAAAGCATGAAATTAACAATTAACAACGATGATTTTCTTAACCTTCCCATATCGTTTTTACTACTAGATTTCGATTGAATTTGGGAAAACTGAATCACCAGCCGTAGTCCATACTTCGTAACTTATCCACTCTTGCCTCAAATACTACACGCGAGATAAACAAAACATATCGCATGCACGCGCATGGGATGTATCGCTATTTAGCTAGCTATAGCGCTAGCTGGAAATTGCGCGCGCTAAAAATCTTATAGCAGGCCGGGGTCAAAGGTCGGGAAGACTGCACATGCGCATTACCAACCGAAACACGCCAAAACATCGCTGAACAGCTCCGTCGGTTATGTTTAAGCACAAGTGTAACCGGGTGCACGAAACATCGCGACTTTTCAAAATGAGGTATTTGACAGTATAAATGCGCCTAGTGATTGTAAAATTGATTGCATTGATCACCATGTGCCATTGTCAAAATCAATTGTACTAACATTGCTAAGCTATGTGTTACAGGGCCCTGTTCTTCTAATTTGTTTGTTTGGTACAGCAGAACCTAAAAGAAAAGGTTGAGTTCTAGTCAAGCGATTGCATTGTGAAAGAAACATTGTGGAATCGATCAGAAAAGATTGATCATCTAGCGTATTTATGTGTATTGAAAGGTTCTGGAATCATTGAAATGCTAAGAAATTTGGCCCAGTCTTGGTAAAGTTACAAGCACTGTACACAGAAAGATGTATATGGGACTAAACAAACACGTGGCGAAAAAATCCATCCCAATTTTTATGATGTTTGTTGTTACGTGCCATATTTAGAATATTAAGGCATTTGACTTTTGAAGAGCCATGCTTTTTAGGGAACATGTTTAATCTGATATTCTTTCAGACTTGCATAATACAATGATAATGCTGACAAATTATTTTTCACCTCTTCCCAGAACTCAACCTTCTCTTTAAGATAAAAAGTTTTATACAAAAGACAAATTTGATATCATCTGGTAAGAGCCAGAAGGGCATTTATTCTGTGTTAATGTATATATGAGTTAGTCCTCTTCTGGCTTCAAGCAGACGATATGATGTCTGAAGACTGGTGATTGTGGAATCAGAGCTAAGCTTTAGCTTTAATGTACCCCAGGTATGTTCATCAGTATTCTATTGGGATTTGGTTGGAATTCTGCCAACAAAACATAAGTCCCCCTCTTCCCCAATTTCCCTTTCCCATCATTTTAAAAAACAACTGACTAATGACACTTTTTTTCATTTTGTTGATTCTGCAGGTGGGTTTGCCCTGGTCTTCCTGGTCAAAGGTCGCAATGGAATGCATTACGCTCTCAAGAGGATGTTTGTCAACAACGAGCAGGATTTGGTTGTCTGCAAGAGAGAGATCAAGATTATGGTAAGGATTAAAAAGGAAGAGTAGGCTGGTCTTTTTTAGCTCAAGTTTTCAACAAAATGATTATGGTGAAGACACATTAGGCCTGCCCTCATCAGCCTGAGTAGGCCAGATACATTTAGCTCGCTATTTCTGAACCGGGAAATTAGCCAGACCATGAAATAGAGGGCTATTTGGCAGGTGAAGACGCAAATAGCGGTTATTTGCTCGGGAAATCTACCCAAGATATCTTGGGCTAGTTTGCGAAATAGCCTGCTTTGTGGTCCGTTTTCACCAGCTCGATGACTCAGGAAGATTTCTCGATCCCGGCATGTGCCTTATTGTGTTAGCTAGAAGGGTTGTTCTCGCACTACGCATTTGCGAACACTGAGCAAATTTTCAAGCTTGAGTTTCAAGCTGATGAGTACACGATTTGTAAACTTAGGGGTAATTTCCCAGATCACAAAATAGCGGGCTATTTGGCCAACTCAGGCTGATGAGGGCAGGCCTATTTAGACTATCATGCTCTTGTATCTTGAGCTGATTCCTTGAGCAAGCAGGGATCACTTCAGTCAAGTTTATAAAGATGGGGAACTGGAACTCGTACTTTTTTCTTAGAAATGCTGATTGGTCTAATGACAATGTTAAAGCCCCTCTAAAGTGTTGGGAGCCCCAAATTTGCCAAAAATTTTATGGCAAAATTTTACTTGAATTTTTGTATCATAATTTGAAAGAATATGTCATTTTAGACACACTTCTGCAAAGATCCCCCCCCCCAAAAAAAAAAAGTATTTGAAGACAAATATTGATACAATTTAAGTGAAATTTTGCCATCAGATTTTTGGGCCCCAACACTTTAGAGGGGATTTAAAGGCCCACTTTACTAGTTTGGCAAAGTGTGGTTAATACAACGTTAATTACGGTAAGAAAAAGAGGATCATGGGTTAACAATGGTCACCGATTAGGCATTGTTTGCTATTTAGAGGGCGCAAGTAGCTATAAGTAGTGCAGTGGGACTCTGTGGAGATGAACCTATTCACTGCGAAGGGAAGGTTTGTGGGGAAAACCCAAAATGTGCTGCTTGCACTATTATTAAAGCAGCCTGAAATTTCTCTGAAAAAGAAAGGGAGGTTTTCACTTTCTACATGACGGTTGGGTTATTACACTGTAGGGTCTAGAAGACTCACACCCCCCTCCCCCTCCCCTCATGCCCCTTCTCTCTCCTAATAATAGAAATAAAGAGATGGAGTCAATTCTATATTCTACAGAATCGATAGCACATATTTGATAATGATTGATAAATCTATCCAAAATTGTTAAACAAAATCTTTACAGAAGAAGAGAATTATATTGTGAAAGATTAGATATTTGCTTATAACTTTTCAATATAATTGCTTCTAATTTTGACAGGTATCATTTTAAGACACACAACAACTGGAAGGTAAAGATATGTGTAATGTCATTATGGGACTGCCTCTAACACTGTTAAATATATGTACACAATGATAAGTAATTTGGGATTGAAAGAAAAAAGGCTGCCTTCAGGAAGAAAATAAAATAGCTTTGGTGAATCTTGAAAAGTGAGCCTTCTAGTTATGTGTTCCTATCTCAAATATCTATTATTTGTCTATTTCCCGTTTTATATTGTATTGCACAGAAGCTCTACAAACAATGTATACCATGAGGCCTTTTTTGTTCTCTTCCTTTTTTCACTTTTAAAAACATTTATTTATGTATTTATTTATTTATTTTGTTTACTTGTTTCTCCCCATATCAAATGGACAGAATTGGACTAAACTATTTTATTTTTTCAATTCACTCACTGCAGCAAAATTGCTCTCAACTCTTTTGGGATTGGTCTATTTTTCATGATACTGAGTTTAAATCTTCTGTTATTCAGCTGAACTCCTCCTTGGTGAAAGAACATTACGACAGGGCTTACATATAGGCATCATGGGACTATTCCTTTCATCACATCACTCTCCCTACTTTCTCTTTTTGTCTCGCCCATTCAGACTTCCAAACATTTATGTTCGTAGCAATTAAACAAAAAGGTATACCACAGGATAAATGATTATTTTTTAAATATTGTTTAATGACACATCAAATAGCAAAAGGAACTTGAAGCATTGTTTCAAATTAACTTGATGAAAAATCATAGTCCACTTTCAATGATTTCCATGTATTATAAAAACGAAAAACCATTAATCTCAAAGGCTCGCCCGCGATTCTACAACATTTGTAGGCGAACTATCATCTAAGCTGACGTGAATATCAATTAATGTGTGTATGTCCCCTTTGCCATATAATAACTCTTTCTTTAAGAGTTCTTACAGATTTTGTGAACCAGTATGGGAACAGGCTAACTATATACAGGCGTACATGTATTTTGCAAATAGGCTAGTAAGTGCTTCCAGGCGATAAGAACATTGTACAGCTTGAGTACAGTGCGTCTTGGGAAATGTCTTTTCATGAAACCTGAACTGTTTTTCTTCCCTCCCCCCCCCCCCTCTCTCTCTCTCTCCCCCCCCCCCCCCCCCCCCCCCCCCCCCTCTCTCTCTCTCTCTCCGTCTAGTCTACGCTGTCAGGGCACAAGAACATCGTACCCTACGTAGAATCCAGCATCACGCGCAGCAACAGTGGAGTCTACGAGGTCCTCATCCTGATGGAGTATTGTAGAGGTAAGTCCAGCGTTTGTTATCATAGTCGGTTGTGGGAGATAAAAAGTCCCCGTAAGTTAGAGAAATTTAGGTACTGTACAGTCAAACCTGTCTACAGCGACTGCCCAAGGAACACAATAAGTGGTCTTTGTAGACAGGTTCCTTTAGTACATGTTTCAATGAGAAACCATTTTCAAGGGAAACAAAAAATGTGCTTGTTGTAGACAGGTGGTCACTATATAAAAGCAGGTTTGACTGTAATTGTGTGGTCAAAATTAACACTTTGCCTACTGTACCGTATGGCCCCTGTATAACGTCTATGGGAAGAAGAGACCTCGTTAGTCAATGGGTTAAAATGAAAAGCTTATGTCTTTGGGTCGTGTGACCATTGTGGTGATACTACATTGTAGCTGGTGCATGCATTTGACTATGTTATGGAAGGTTTAATCCCTTTGGTTAGAAATATTCTAAATTGATTGTTGCCATCCATGGATTATAATCAAATGTGAACGTGGCGTTGAGACGTCATCAGGCTTCATGATGATCCTTTGAGGATACAGGGTGTCAGTTCGTACATGATATACATACATGTAACCTAATGTGTAGGATTAAAGAGGAGTGTGAACACCTCTTGATACGTCATTGCAGGGATCGGATAGCTTAAGGAGATCATGATTGCAATCTTTCTAGTGTTCTGTTACTAAGTCATTGGACACCAGACACGATTCATCCGAGCAAAGAACAATACATTTACCTAAGTGTGAACAATATTGCACCCAGAGTGGACTTTAATCCCACTTAAGATGTTCATTATGTTCATATTAAAGTGTCTGTTAAAGGTACTACACTGTATGTCCCATTTGCAGGCCCCAAAAATGAAAAGGCTGAATTCCAAGGTCATTTGAAAGACATTACTAATTTAGAACTTACCTCAAAACAGAAGGGCCTAAAAATGGCTTTTAGTGGGAAAATAATAACCAGTAGTTGTCAAATCGACTTAGGTGATTGCAATCACATAAGTAATAGTCTGATTTTCAGACCTTTTCACCGAATGGTCGTACTCATACGTTTTGTGCTGTACAAAGAATCAATCCGTTCAATTTTAGCTATTACAAGAAGTGGGTTATAGACGTACATGTAGATCCATTAAAATGCTGATGTACCTGTTACATCTCATTTTATGTTTGTTATTACCAAAGAAAAAAAAGATGTCAGTCAGTCACTCAAATGACTCAATATAGTGTCTGTAGTCTAGAAGGCAAACAGATTTCCTTGCATAATTTGAATACTAGGACAGTGCTAATGTTTAAATTTCACAGATAGGACATACAAGACATATTCATAATTTAAGCAAAGTTCTACAGAATTTGATGTTGACTGCAAAAGGGACATCGTATCTTTAAGTAGCACTGTTAGGAGTTTTGTTTTTTCATCACAGCTCTGTAGAGTATATTTATATTGTAGCTGCCCCATATAATTATATTGATCTTATCATAATTATTATTATTATAAAAGTAAACTCTCTCTCTCTTCATTGCTAATGATATAGAATATCCTGATCTTGGTTACTACAAGTTGGAAAGAAGGCTTGCAAATGTATTTCAGTTGATTAAAACTCTATGTATGGGAGAATTACATTTGGTTTGTTCAATTACAAATGTTGTATACCGGTAGCAATTTGATAGTCATGTCATATACATCTTAGAGATGAAGGTAACAGTGATCACAACCTATTGTACTTCAATAGCTTTCAGTGCAATGGATCATGCATAGGCTTCTGCATAAGTACATCAAAGGAAAGTTTGTTGCCCTTTAGGTAGTCTTGACTCCAAACTTTAATCCCTTGGAAAGAGACGGCCTATTTTCACCTTCCAAAGATTCCATGCATTTCATAGTGAAGCACACTCTAGTGCCATTATTATTTTGAAAGTCTTTTGATATCAGCAATGACCTTTTATTTTTTCACCTACATGTACTTCCCCTCTTGTGCATGTACCATCCTATGTGTTATTCCACCACCAGAAATCCATGACGCAGAAGTGATTAGGTGGGGCATGGTGTTACGTTTTTGTCTGCATTGATTTTCATCAGTTTATTCAGCTTGCATCTTCACTGTAGATTAGTCTCTGCAGACAGACCCTGTATTGATTTTTATAAATCTAACTAATTTGAAGTAGGCTCACATGCACATGTAAATTAAGCCTCACTTCTGGGGGAGTATGATTATCTTTCTATCATCTATCATGTCTTGAAATAGTTTGATCCTTAAATATATACTATTCCTTCTAGATTCTCCCACTGTAGAACATAAGAGAGTTTAGTCTTAATCCCCAGACATACATCTTCATTTTTAAATGAGATTTTGGGGGCTTTGGCAGTTTAGGCTAGACCATTAATGGCTTTCATTTTCTTGCCATTTTGAGGATCCAGGTATTCTTCCACGCCATGGTTGTTATGCGATCAACGCCACAGACCTGGGGACCTGTGGTTTGATTGATCAGTGATGACTGACGGGAATGAGCGAACTCGGATCAGGAGAAACATTGAACAATTCACAGAAATAGAAAGGGGCAAGGGTCTAGAGAGGGTTCCAAGAATGGACCGAGGGGGTGGGGTGAAGGGAGATGTGTACATGTAGATGAATAGGACAGTGTCACAGGGAGAGGGTGGAGGTGTGGAGGGGGGGGGGGGTGGGGTGAAGGGAGATGTGTCCATGCAGATGAATAGGACAGTGTCACAGGGAGAGGGTGGAGGTGTGGAGGGGGGTGGGGTGAAGGGAGATGTGTACATGCAGATGAATAGGACAGTGTCACAGGGAGAGGGCCGAGATGTGGAGGGGTGGGGAGGTGGGGTGCAGGGAGATGTGTCCATGTAGATGAATAGGACAGTGTCACAGGGAGAGGGTGGAGGTGTGGAGGGGGGGAGGGTGGGGTGAAGGGAGATGTGTACATGTAGATGAATAGGACAGTGTCACAGGGAGGAGCCGAGGGGGGGGGGGGGGCGGGGAGGTGAAGGGAGATGTGTCCATGCAGATGAATAGGACAGTGTCACAGGGAGAGGGCCGAGATGTGGAGGGGGGGGGGGGGGGGTGGGGTGCAGGGAGATGTGTACATGCAGATGAATAGGACAGTGTCACAGGGAGAGGGCCGAGGTGTGGAGGGGGGGGGGGTTGAAGGGAGATGTGTCCATGTAGATGAATAGGACAGTGTCACAGGGAGAGGGCCGAGGGGGGGGGGGGGCGGGGAGGTGAAGGGAGATGTGTCCATGCAGATGAATAGGACAGTGTCACAGGGAGAGAGCAGAGTTGTGTGGGGGTGGGGTGCAGGGAGATGTGTCCATGTAGATGAATATGGACAGTGTCACAGGGAGAGGGCCGAGATGTGGAGGGGTGGGGAGGTGGGGTGAAGGGAGATGTGTCCATGTAGATGAATATGGTCAGTGTCACAGGGAGAGGGTGGAGGTGTGGAGAGGGGGGGGGGTGAAGGGAGATGTGTCCATGTAGATGAATATGGACAGTGTCACAGGGAGAGGGCCGAGATGTGGAGGGGTGGGGAGGTGGGGTGAAGGGAGATGTGTCCATGTAGATGAATATGGACAGTGTCACAGGGAGAGGGTGGAGGTGTGGAGGGGGGGGGGGGTGGGGTGAAGGGAGATGTGTCCATGCAGATGAATAGGACAGTGTCACAGGGAGAGGGTGGAGGTGTGGAGGGGGGGGGGTGGGGTGAAGGGAGATGTGTACATGTAGATGAATAGGACAGTGTCACAGGGAGAGGGCTGAGATGTGGAAGGGGGGGGGGGGTGAAGGGAGATGTGTCCATGTAGATGAATATGGACAGTGTCACAGGGAGAGGGTGGAGGTGTGGAGGGGGGGGGGTGGGGTGAAGGGAGATGTGTCCATGTAGATGAATATGGACAGTGTCACAGGGAGAGGGTGGAGGTGTGGAGGGGGGGGGGGGTGGGGTGAAGGGAGATGTGTCCATGCAGATGAATAGGACAGTGTCACAGGGAGAGGGTGGAGGTGTGGAGGGGGGGTGGGGTGAAGGGAGATGTGTACATGTAGATGAATATGGACAGTGTCACAGGGAGAGGGCCGAGATGTGGAGGGGTGGGGAGGTGGGGTGAAGGGAGATGTGTCCATGTAGATGAATATGGACAGTGTCACAGGGAGAGGGTGGAGGTGTGGAGGGGGGGGGTGGGGTGAAGGGAGATGTGTCCATGTAGATGAATATGGACAGTGTCACAGGGAGAGGGCCGAGATGTGGAGGGGTGGGGAGGTGGGGTGAAGGGAGATGTGTCCATGTAGATGAATAGGACAGTGTCACAGGGAGAGGGCTGAGATGTGGAAGGGGGGGGGGGGGTGAAGGGAGATGTGTCCATGTAGATGAATATGGACAGTGTCACAGGGAGAGGGCCGAGGTGTGGAGGGGGGGGGGGTGAAGGGAGATGTGTCCATGTAGATGAATATGGACAGTGTCACAGGGAGAGGGCCGAGGTGGGGGAGGGGGGGGGGGTGAAGGGAGATGTCACAGTGTCACAGGGAGAGAGCAGAGTTGTGTGGGGGTGGGGTGCAGGGAGATGTGTCCATGTAGATGAATATGGACAGTGTCACAGGGAGAGAGCAGAGTTGTGTGGGGTGGGGTGCAGGGAGATGTGTCCATGTAGATGAATATGGACAGTGTCACAGGGAGAGAGCAGAGTTGTGTGGGGGTGGGGTGCAGGGAGATGTGTACATGTAGATGAATAGGACAGTGTCACAGGGAGAGGGCTGAGATGTGGGGGGGGGGGGGGTGGGGTGAAGGGAGATGTGTACATGCAGATGAATAGGACAGTGTCACAGGGAGAGGGCCGAGGTGTGGAGGGGGAGGGGGTGGGGTGCAGGGAGATGTGTCCATGTAGATGAATATGGACAGTGTCACAGGGAGAGGGTGGAGGTGTGGAGGGGGGGGTGGGGTGAAGGGAGATGTGTACATGTAGATGAATAGGACAGTGTCACAGGGAGAGAGTGGAGGTGTGGAGGGGGA